AGCGCAAGAAATACACAAGAGAAAAAGGCTGGAATGCTAGTCTAGGAAATGCTAAAATGCTCCAGTAACAGAAAAATGGAGCACAAAGATTAAAAACACAGTGTAGAAAGGGTCATGAGGGACAGGTGAAATTAATCAGGGAGGGGTGATAATCACACACACACAGGAAACCCACAATGGCAGGAAGTGAGGTATCTGAAACCAGAGACAAGGTGAGTATTTAAAAATAATACAGTAAAACAAGTATAAACGAAACATGAAAGAAAAGAAAAATATAATTTAGGAGCAGGGCAGATTGTGACATACTTAGGTCATGTCCCCGTTATTTTTCTGGGAATTTGTAGGATTTGGGGATCCTGGGAGGGGGGGGGGGTTGCATTCTCAATAAAGAAATATTTTATTGTTGATAGTTATAAATTTCATCCATTTTATATCTGCAGATGAGGAGAGATATAAAGCATTTTTCACTTGACCTTCACAAGTGAAATAGAAGACAGAAAATACATTTTAATAGATAGCCGAGTGAATAGATTATAACAAATTTAAATAATCTAAAAGTTTTAGAGTCTTCCTTTTTGGTTCCTGGGTGACAGTGACAGTGTTACGTTTGCCAAACATATCGGTTAGTCCTCATCATACAAGTTAAATTCCGCCAGAGACTGCACTAAGTCAGCTGAGGAGGGATAAGCAGTCCATTGGACTTGGACTCATGACCTCAATATTTCTAAAGTCTTGGCTACGGCCCTGTCGTTCGCCCTTTGACGAATAAGTGTCCAAAATGTCCTGCACTGAACTGGACTCCCTGAAGCTTTGTAGTTGATGTTCTTTCCCACCAGAGGAGCTTGAAGTCTGACCAGTGCTCCACAATAACAATAAACCAGAAGTTAATGACTGCACTCTGATTGGTCCTTTGCACCTCTTTTACTGCTTCATGGGGGGTGTTGGAGGTAATGAGTCACTCGGTAGCATTCATGCAGGATGCTCGTTGCCGGGGAATGGTACAGGATCATGAAAGGCAGTTGTAGCCATCTGACTGACTCCCCTCTTCACTGAGTTCCTGTGCATGCTCCAACTGACCCATCAATGAAAAGCCACTTTCTTCCCCTTTTCTGGTGCGTGGCTGTGCAGGAGAGCGAAAAGGGAGGTGGGAAAACGATGGACAATACAGTAACCCAACACTGGCCAGACTCACAATGTGAGGTCTCTGTGCCCCGCTGGACCAACAAACAGAGAGGCCTTTCTCATGATCCAACTGCCTCTCCAATCCCACGCCAGCATTCCTCTGCACTTTAATTATGCAGCAAACACATGCATATTCACGTGCTAATCACGTCACCTTGGCCGGGACACCCTGTAAATTAATTGAGGTAGCAAAGGAGCATGTGATAACAGTGGACCGATGCATAGAAAGGACATTACTGTATTGTGATTGCATAAACCTGTCAATAAAAGACTGGCTGTTTAATCATTGTTGTAGGGACCCAAAGCTTTTCCTGCGGTGCCCTTACTATTTCTTTTCAATGAGCACAGTATGACTCCATCCCATGTCAAAATATAATCCTAATACAAATATACTTTTTATATGCAACCAAGTGTTTAAGATACTATTGTATATTATTTACACTGCTTTTTCTCAAATTAATTTTGGGGCTACATATTTATATCTTTTACTACTTTTAATCTTCTTCTGTTTAAGTTATGATATTATTTTAACTAAAAATTGTCATCTTTTTAAACCCTATGTCTTTTATTTTACCTCATGTTTTTTTATATCTTGTCTCAATGTCTTTTCATGTTCTTCATAAAGCACTTTGAATTTATTTTATGTTGAAAGATACTCCAAAAATATATCTAAGTGCCCTGTATTTATCTGCAGAGGTAAATTAACTCTAAAAAGCTCTTTGCACAAGACGCTATAGTTTCAGAACAATGAAGTTTCCATGTATGTTGTCAGTCTATCAGGATAAAGCTGTCTATGAGGGCATGTTGGAACAAAGAGAGCCATCCCAAAGGTCCCATCTCTAAATGGGCATGGAACTCATCCAGGGCTGTTTGAATTAAATGTAAACTTGGTTTGCATTGTCATATACATACATACCAACAGAAATTTGTCCTCTGCATTTAACCCATCCCGAGCATTTAGGAGTAGCGGGCTGCGACGGGGGAGAAACTTGGGGTTCAATGTCTTACTCAAAGATGCTTTGACATGCAGACAGTATAGGAGCTGGTGATCGAACCACCAACCATGTGGTTAAAGAACCTCAAAAAACCTCAAATACAAGGAAACAACAGCCAAACTGCAAGTTTCTAGGGAAGCAGCGTAGTCTGAACTGCAGAGATTAGGGAACTAAATAATGTCATTCAAAGCACGATAGAGCTGACCGAAAGTAACCACACATGTGAAGACAGTAGTAACCAGTGTATTAACTCAACAACCATATGATAAAGAGTGACATTCATTTACATGTATTAAAAAAGTCACATGTGAGGATGTTTAATCTATTTTAAAGTCGGTGACTTGCACAACATCAATGAGAATTGTTGCTTTGTCCTGCAGAAGACTGCAGTCCAGTGATGTTAAATAGGTCATGTATTCAAGCTGTGCTAAGCCATTTGCCACTGTATCTTGCAAAACTCGACTGTTATGATTGACAGATTCCAACAGACATATATCAGGTCAAGACAAAAAAAACATTTTCTAAAATACAGTTTCATTGGTTCAAACTGTTTTGTTTGTCACTGGTTTGTCAGGTTTGGCAATGCTCTCCAGCAGGAAAGAGCTGAGAAGATTTTGTACCTCCTTGAAACCTGAGAGGTAGATTTCGTAATGGGAAAACAGTGACACTGGAAATACTTTGAGTCCAACTTCGTTGCCCGTTGCAGCTTTGACTAGAAACCAAATGTAAAACGCTCTGATTATTTTTCATGTATCTGTTATATTTTGTGTAAATTGTATCTAACTGAAGGATCGGTAAATTTTGTTTCAGAGAATTCTCCAAGAATCCATGAATACTTTTATATTTAATTTGCTGTGGCCATAAATAACACCATGACAGCAGTGAGAGGGAAACAAAACAGTAAAGTTGTGGGCCAGACAGCTATCAATGAGCTGAAACTTGCGCCGTAACGCAAAGGGATGCTGCAGATTAAGGTGATGCTTGTCAGTTCCTAACAACAAATGCTGAATTTCTAATTTCATTTTATTTAGCAGCTTTTACCATTTTCTGTTGATTATTCAAACAATTGTCTGCCAGACTTCCTTCTTTTAACAAAGCACAGAACAGGAAGGGAGGCAACCTGCAAGATGCAATTATTGGCCAGTACACAGACAAGTGCTGAATACATCCGAGAGGTGAATGCACCACTTCACTGAATCATCTTCCTGTTGATTTATGGGTTTGGACTTTTAGACATAACAGCCGGGGGTGGCCTTTTGGAGAAACTGAAGGGTCAAACCACCAAAGCAAACAGCGCCTGCTTCCTGAGGGATTTCCTGCTCAACAACATGAAACAAATCCTCCTCATGCAACATCATCAATTTGAAATACTGTGTCTTGTCATCGAGAAAACATCACAAACACTTTTTCTTTAACCACCATCTCAACAATCCTGTTATGCTTGCTGATTGATATTTTGTTTATTCTCTCAGGGTGGTAGGAATGTCTTTTTTTCTTCTTTATGATTTTGGTGATTTAAGGTACATTTGCCTCTAAATTACACTTGACTGATTTAACTTCAGAAAATATGAATGACTATTCATTTAGTTCCTAAATAAATGATTTAGCCTATTTGGGAATAATGTGTTTGTGATTGATTTTGAGTGATTGACATTTCAGAGGGAAATATTGTACTTTTTATTCCACTGCTTTTATTTGACAGCCATAGTTACTCATTGCTTTCATCATCACGATTTTACACCCAAAATATGATCATCTTATAAAATATAATGTCCTGTCATAGATTGAACAGATCATTAGCATATAATGCAGTTAAAATTATAATCAACCTCGATTTGCAACATTAATATGCTGCTTTTACAGTAAAGCATCAGGAATAATAATCATGCCCTACAACACTCTGAAATGGGCCATGTTGCTGCTTTCAGAACATATTGCTCTAAAATCTTCTGTACTTCAATTAAGGTATACGTTTGAATGCAGGAATTTTATTTGAAATGGAGTACAAGGCAAGAGTACAAGACTTTTGTTTTGGCTTTTTATGGAGGGGGGCTTAAAGAGACAGCCACTAAAATGGAACGGGCGGGTTCAATGTTGACTGTTTAATCCCACTTACAATGGGCTAACACATTGACACTCACCCTGCCACACATTGATAGTCAGTGGAGGAAGAAAAATGCACATGTTATACTCTGTTTGAGAACAAGGCTGAATACAGGTATATTCAGACAGACAGTATGAGTAAAATCATATTTTTTTAAGAACATTAAAACATGTAAGCATGTTTATAGTAAAAAACCCAAAATACAAGTACGAACTTGAAACTGAGCATAAAATATCCCCTTTAATGTGAATTACTATTTTACTTGATAAAGAACATGTGACCATCTTGGAAATTATGTTTCACATTGCAGGATATTTTCACATGATATGTTACATTTTTTGCACACATGCCTGATACATGGACATGTAAATATAAATTATGCTACCCTATTTAGTAGGATGATCAACATCATATAACTATTATTATTATTATTATTATTATTATTATTGTTGTTGTTGTTGTTACAGTATTCAGCTCTTTATTATTTAGGCCTATGTATTCATTTCTTATTTGCTTCCTTTGATTTCAATTATTTTCGTGTGTATGGCACACAGGACGTGTGTGCGTGTGTGTGCGTGTGTGTGTGTACGCAGCAGCAGCAGCAGCAGGCCAGTTCCATGACAGCAGGCTTCAGTGGAGGGCTGGTCTTATAGTCGTCACCGCTTCTCATATTTAATTAATGAGAAGGCAGCGGCCACGGTAAAAACTGGCTGCTTCTGGTTTCCAGGCATAAATACAAAGCGGAGCCGGTCTGAGGCCAAACGGGCACAAAGGAAAGCGGAGCACTCTGAGGTTTTAAAGCTGAAGACTACGAGAGTCAGGTAACCAGCTGCTCTGCTAAAACCCACATATCACAGAATTATTATTTAACAGCGGGACGGTGGGTGATGGCCACTGTGGCGATTTAAAAAGACCAGTGTGTACGTGTACGTGGGCTACATATCGCTAGAAATACAGTGAGAACAGCTTATTTACTGTACTTGTCAGTGCTGCGAGCGACCGTGCACACATTATACTAAATGTCACCGGGCTGTTTGTGTTGATAAAACGGGAAAACACGCATCCACACAACACCTGTGCAAACACAGGGATTACAAGTCCCATGCAATGTTAGTTACACTGACGTATTGTAGGTCGTTTAACGGGACAACCCGCTCTGCCTGGAATAAATAAAGTGGATTTGTGCGTTTCGCTCTATTTGTCCGCATTAAAGTGTGTTTAGGCTTTATTGGGTCTATATCACATGGTGTCTTTGACAAACAATTAATCGGAGTAGTTTTCTCTGAACTTGTTCGCTTTGTTTCAAACTGCTGCCACTTTGGCATCACAGTTTATACGTGGCAGTAAAGGATCCAGCCAGGCAGCATGTAGGATGACATCAGACACTTTGTTTCTTCTCACTTCGATTTTTCTTATCAGTTACAACTTTTCATTGTCATTTCATTTTTTGTATTTTGGTACAAGTTTCAAATAAGCGAAATTGTATAAAGTTTTTTTTAAAATTCGAACTAATGGCTGTATTAATGGTTAATACATGTTGTACTTAATGCTTTATGGGTCAGTGTTAATCTTCTAATAAAAGATCAAGAAATCTCAGGTTAGGTCAAGAAACATTTCATTGATTTCTCACTTTCTAACAAGCCTGCACTTGGAAATGTTAATATGCGAGTATGAATGCTAACACTTGTTAATAACAAATAGATTTTACATAAGTGGTCAAAGTAAAAACCTGGCAACCCAAAAGTTCCTCTTATCACTGGCTCATAATTGACATATTAGTTGTAAATGCTGTATTAACTTTTAATATTGCCATTATTTACAATTTATAAACTCTTTATAACAGGGTGCTTATTACAAAGGGATACCCATTTTTTTTTCCAAGGCTTTCCTGTGTTTTTTGTTAAATTACAGAAATATACACTTTAATAGTTTGTTTAGCTCTCATCTCTCTCTGTGGTTATGACGTTACTATCATTGTGTAATTGAGCTAGTGTGTATCTTTGGGAACACTACAATAGTCTCAGTGCACTCTTTTTCTGCACCAGGGGAACATACAGAATGATGTACAGTAGCACAGCGGTGGAGCTTGTGTGTGTGTGTGTGTATGTGTGTGTGTGTGTGTGTGTGTGTGTGTGTGCGTGGTGCCTCAACTCCATCATCCCAGTTTGGGAAAACCAGACCTGAGAGAGAAGTGTGGAATGTTTGGCCTTTGGTATGAAGCCATCAGAATACACAGATTTCTTTTATGTAGAGATGTAGAAATGTTTGTTTGCGTGCTACTACTCACATGCGACTGATAAAAGAAAATGCAGATGTGAGTGTGGTCAACAGCTGGAAGAGTGATGTCCACAATTTAAGGAGAGAGGAGAGCAGTAGAAGTCACTCATTAATTCAAGATATTGCAAAAAAGAAAAGGCCACCTTGAAAAGGCCACCGGCAGATGCACTGTATGGTAGATTGCCATTTCTAGGTCAGTGGTAACCCCCTCCCTCCTCACTCCACCCCACCCTGAGCCGCCTATCTACCCAAGGCAAGCCCACACATTAATCTGCAGTGGGGTGTAAAGCATGAGACGGCATGTGGCGAGAGTATTACCCAGCCGTGGAATAATTACAAGCAACCAGGAACGGATGCACAATCTGTTACGGGGCCAATGTGTGATGTGATCATCAAAGGCTGTTAATGAATTAGACCTGTAATTCATATAGAATCCGTGTTTGTTATGTATTCATAGAATCAGGTAGGTTTTTTTTTTTTAACCTTAATGAGCTTTATTTTATAGGTCAAGCCCAGCATTAACAGATTAAGAGTGAACAGTGAATCTTTAAAGCTATAATAGGGAGTTTTGGATGCAAAGATGTTACAGCTTAAATGTTGTCCTGCATTACATCAAAGTCACACAATCTTCTGACCTTGTTTGACTTATTTAGTAAGAAATGAAAGCCTAAACCTAAAATCTTTTATAAAGAAAAATGTGTCAAAAAATGGAAACATCTGTGTAAAACGAACAGCTGCCCTCTGATATCTCTTGGCAGGAAACATTCACACCCTATAGAATTGTGCTTTGTACCTCATTATAATAATTTAATGGTTTTCTCTGGACATTTTCTTGTTGGTACTTTACATAAATTACACTTCATTAGAAGGGATTTGACTGGCTGCAAGTTATAAACCATTATTTTTCACATCAACATAGATGTACAACCTGCTGCCAATCTAAATATATGAATCTTAAATGTATGTCATGATATTCATATATATGGACACAACAAAAATGTCCGTGTCCTGGACAGTGATTTGGAAAATATGCAGCTGTATTTAGCACAAAAAACCCCAAAAAAAAAACACAATACGACAAATACAATGTTTTACGGCAAAGAAAACAATCCCATCTACTGCCTCGTCCTGATTTGGTCAGATATGTTGTCATTTGCCACTAAGCATTGTCCTCCTGTGACCCTCACCTCTAACAACTGTGGAATAGAAAAGAGCAGCAGAGTACTGAAAACATCCATTATAAAGAAACTCCTACCGCGTATTCTTTAACAAGCTGTAGATGTAATAGCTCAGGAAACAAACATGTCAGCCTCAATTCAAGATTCAATAAACAAGTGTCACTGAACAATCACAGAAAGGCCTTTTGTTGGTTTGTTTGTGTAACATTGTGAATAAACCTAATTTTAGCATCTGTATCATTTTAGGTGATTTATATTTGAAAGGCGCAAAAATAAAAAATGAACCAACTTTTACTTTTTTACTTTTCTTTGAAGCCCAAAAATGAGTCCATTCATGTTGAAGTTGCATCAAGGTTTCATCTGCAAATTTGGGGAATCCAACTGATGATCAACAGTGTAGTTAAACTGTGTTTTCGGTGTTAATGCAAAGTATTCATGGCTGACTCACGTCCAGAGAAAGAGACGAAAATGGAACTGAAACATGGCTTTATTTGTTACACACAAAGAAGTAATTCAGTATAACTCTGTGGTTAACAGTAATGTGTGGCAACTATGCAGATTGTAGTCTCAAAGGATTATGTAACTTTAATAAATGACTCTATTGTTACACATAATTTGATGTCACAATGCAGCGATATAATATATTTTCCATAAAATTAATTCATAAAATGTTTGTGGATAACATAATTAGGTGACAATAACCAGAGAGAAATGTCTGTTTGTGTCAAATTCTGCCAAATCAAGAAACTACATCAAATCACGTGGAAATCCAATACTGCCACAAAGCAATCTAGTTCATTGACCTGCTACAGCGGACGATTTATATTGTTTCTCAATATATAATGTCATATCGTCACTTCAAATGGAAACGCCTGATCAGTAAATCTGTGCCATGTCTGACCCACTTTCCACCCGAGGGTCATGAGGTCAGATGACCTGTGTGTTGACCCGTCCAGATTAGCAGGTTTAAACCCACATCCGTGTTGGAGGGCAGCGGTCAACCAAGAGACTCTGGTAGACTATGAAACAGGAAGTTATAGAGATTTACAGACATCCCTGTATATGTCCTCTTCAGTTTGACATCGCATTCTGGTTCTTACAACATACGTTACCACCCCCCCCCCCCCCATCAACCCCCCCCCCACCGACCCAAC